ATTTTAATGATAAAAAAACTTTGTCGAAACGTTGTACATTTGCTGTTATGTTAAACTTATATTAAAGTTTTTCTTCATTACCCATTCAAGCCGTCTCCAGACATTATTAGTCTCAAAGTGGGTTCCTCGTCATCGAAAATGTTGGTATTGTTTACTGCATGATGTTTCATTTCTGTTTTAAATTTAGAATCTGTATGTAATATATTATGCTTTCGGATCAATTTAGATATACATTTCTTCTAATTTATAGGATGTGGACACACAAAAAGATTTGGAAATGAGACATAGGATCGAAGAAGACGCCCTCTATCGACAGTTTGCAAAGAAAAGAGCAGAAGAAGAGAAACGTATCAATCATTCAATTCAGGTATAGCGAGCTTTTGAATGTTTGAAAGAAACGGGGACGCGCACGAGAAGTTCCTGTTATATAGATATATTGTAGAAAATGTCTTAAGATACTCTTTTGTTGTTACATGTGTTTTTTCCAGTGACAAATGTTAGCATCAGCTGAGAGAAATAGGGAGCTCTGATGAAGTTCTTAAGGTTTTTGATCATTTCTTTATACTTGGCACAAACATTTATACAGAAATAAGTATGAAATGAAATAAAACATTCTTTAAGTATTTTTACTTGAATCCTTCTGGACTCTCAATGATCCACAATAAAAATTAATTAGTGATGGACTTACAAAATGGAAAACATTATACTATTTTCAACATGGAAATGAACGACGTTCCCATAATAGTTAAGACCTAAGTATCATCATTCCAAATAATCTATGCTATGTAGTCTGCTTTGTGAACTTTAATCGCAATATAGTCGTAGCGAATTTGGCATTTGTTAATGTTGTTCGAAATAATACATACAAACCAAATTACTTTGATTTTTATCGGCAAAATAGGAAGAATGGGAGAAGGAGTTGGAAAGACTGACAAAAAGGTTCCAGGTGGATCTGAAAACTGAGAAAAAGAAGATATTATCTGACGAAGAAAAAACTTTCCCAATGAAGCAGCAGAAAGAAACACGAGATTTGGAAAAGAATATGACCATTAAGTTGGGCAAGAAGAAAGAGTTGTTGACCAGAAAACTTCTAGAACAAGAGCGTACGGCCACTGCAGATCTAATCGATAAACACAGCAAAGAAATGATGAATCTGATCAACCAAAAACGAAACGAGTTGAAGAAGGTACGTTTCTATGCCTAATCATGAATCCAATTATAATTATGTGTATTTGTAGGATTAAACTTGATAAATATAGATATTAAGATAAACTTGTTTAATCCAGATCAATTCCATAAATAACATGGTCTGGGCGTAACGTAGTGGTTAACGTGTTTGGACTATGAGTCCGAGGGTTCACAGTTTGCGAACCGTGACCGCAAAAACGCGCTCCACTCTTTGGGTCCGTGAATATACTTTAAAAATTACTTTCAAATCCTTCCTTTCGCCCAGACGAGAGTAGTCTGAGAGTAAGTGGTGGATGCTGTTAACTAAATACCTTCCCTCTGATCTATCAGTTCAAAATCCTGGATGCACGGGTGTATATAGCGCTTTATGTACGCCAAAAGTCTGAAACAAATAAAACTTCATAATTTAAAAACAACCTAAAACAACTTGGACTAAGGCCACCAGTAGTCTAGAAACTGACCTGTGTTACGAAAAATTCCAAATAAATATAAGAACAACACAACATAACTTCGATGTTTCTAAAGGAATACAAAACAACAACAACAAATAACAGCAACATGATCTCTTTAGCTGTGGTTGTACCTGTACGAGTGTTTAAATTCACTTCAAATTTGATGTAATGATGTTTTGCATTATTTATCGGTAAGTGTTAGGATGAGTTGAACTCTTGCTGAATGGAAATAACTGGTGCTTGGTTTCGGCACAATAACTTAAAGGAAATTAAATAATTTTATGACACTACTCGTATAGCTTGCGTTTCCATTCACTTATCAGTAAATCAGTTGGTAAAACAATGTGAAATTTCAGCCAGCTTTATAAAAATCATTCCAAGCTGTTATTTCGATAATGTCAAAATCACAATCTGTAGCTCTTTCCCAGGTTGTTTTAACATTAACAATTAAACAACGAAGTGGCTATTTGTCCAGCAAGAGTATTGCGCATTTATGATATTGATATCAACAACAACATCCCACTAAGTTTCTGGTGATGGCAGATCTCCTAATTGGAATGAAAATGGACAATATAAAGAATATAAATAGCAACAATATACTGAGGTGAAGAATATAAATAGCGACAATATACTGAGGTGTAGAATATAAATAGCGACAATGTACTGAGGTGAAGAATATAAATAGCGACAATATACTGAGGTGAAGTACGTAAATAGCGACCACAATCATGAGATATCAGGGATAATTTTTTCTAAGTAGTAAGGAGAAGTCAGACGAATTAAATACTGTATAATATGTGGTATTTTTGAAATACTCCACATAATAATAAATGTTATACATTTATAAGATACTTGTAAACATGTGAATTATACGTTAGGAATAAGGTATAAGACAACATATACATACTAGTCATTCAAGCTTGGTAAACTACTGGATATCATTGTGTTAGGAATAAGGTATAAGACAACATATACATACTAGTCATTCAAGTATAATACATTATTGGATATCATTGTTAGGAATAAGATATCAGACAACACATACACACTAGTCATTCACTTCGGTACACTATTGGATATCATTGTGTTAGGAATAAGATATAAGATAGCACATACATACTAGTTATTCAAGCTTGATATACAATTGGACATCATTGTGTTAGGAATAAGGTATAAGACAACACATACACACTAGTCATTCATTTCTGGTACACTATTGGATATCACTGTGTTAGGAATAAGGTATAAGACAACACATACACACTAGTCATTCATTTCTGGTACGCTATTGGATATCATTGTGTTAGGAATAAGGTATAAGATAACACATACACACTAGTTATTCAAGCTTTATATACAATTGGACATCATTGTGTTAGGAATTAGGTGTAAGATAACACATACACTCCAGTAATTCAAGCCTGGTACATTAAACATGGTGTGGTGGTGTTATGCTGTGTTTAATTAAGATAACCTCGAAGGAATTTCAACGAAGCATTATTAATTTTATCGGTGTATATATAATAATGTAACACTTAATTAAAGAACAGATGACGGAGAATAAATAACTATTTCGTCATTTTTTTTAACGAAATCAGCTAATATAAAATTAAAATGATATGTAAATGAATATATTTTTCTACCTAGTAGAAATGAGAAAATAACAAAATAGTAGTATGCTACTAGGACAAATAGGTCAAATAGAAATATCTTCTTCAGGTCATCAGTGTTAGGAACAAACAATGTGCAAAATAATATTTGTTTGTTTTAGCGCAAAGCTACATAATAGGCTATCAGCGTTCTGTTTGTTTGTTATGAATTTCGCGCAAAGCTACACGAGGGCTATCTGCGCTAGCCGTCCCTAATTTAGCAGTGTAAGACTAGAGGAAGGCAGTTAGTCATCACCACCCACCGCCAACTCTTGGGCTGCTTTTTTACCAACGAATAGTGGGATTGACCGTCACAATATAACGCCCCCACGGCTGAAAGGGTGAGCATGTTTAGTGTGACGGGGATTCGAACCCGCGACCCGCAGATTGCGAATCGAGCGCCCTAACCACCTGGCCATGCCGGGCAAATGTCAGCGTTCTGTCCACCACATTAAATCGAATAAAGGATTTTAGCGTTATAAGTCCGTAAACTTACCGCTGGGACAGAAAAAAAAGGTTAGAAAATGGAATTTAGTTTGTTTTATTTCTTTCACTACCAATAACGTTCGGTAAATAATTTATGTTTGATAAGTAGATATTTAACGCTAAAGATCATTTGAATAGTATTTCATCTTTGCGTAACTTCTTGGAGTATTTAATGTTTTAACAACCCAAAAATGAAGAACTTTAAGAATATAATGAGATTACGTCTTGAATTAAAAGTAAGTTTGCTTTATGCCTATTAGCTTCACCTGAAATCTGATTCAAACTTTTTATATTATGTTTCTTTACTTATCAGGAAAACTTAATTTTTCTCTCATTAAAGAACTTTCAGGTAGAAGTGAGAGAACGAAACTCATTGTCCTCACCTTGTCTGTTTCCCCAAGACAATTATCGTGAATCTCGTTTCTCTCCACAGAAAGAGAGCATATATTCTGATACACAATGCTATGTCACAGAGGAGCTTATTCCTTACCCCACACATTCACCTCCACCAAGCCCCCCTAAACTGTCCAAAAGGGATATTTACAGCGACCCAGAAGTATTCGCAGAACTGGACCAAGTCGCTATACACGTATGTATTTTGGTTGATGTTTTTAATATTGAATGTGAATTTGATGGCTTTTTTTTGATGATATGTAAATAACTGAGGTCCAACAACTCACTTGTTATGAGTTATATAAATTAATAGAACAACATGCTGATTAATGAATTATTCTGATGGCTTTTTGATCACTTATATATTATATAGTTTAAACTAATAATATTTTCTGCTATACAACTAAGATTGTACCCTCAAACAGATATCGCAACAATGGCGTCTTCTGAATGTATATACAGCTAGTTGATTCAACAATGGACACTTGTACTGTTTCACCATCTCATTTGAAAGAAAGATCTATAGTATTTCTTCTTTAGTGCTACTAACTCTTTGACAAGTGTCCAATAAACAACAAACTTCTTCCAGAAATGGATAATTTGTTTTCATTCAATTTGAACGTTGCATCTCATGCTCAAAGTTTACTGATTGATTATCATTAGTACCGTTTCTGTTGTTCTGGTGGGGTTCCAGAGTGATCTTCTAAATATCTAATTGCCGTTTCTGTTGTTCTGGTGGGGTTCCAGAGTGATCTTCTGAACATCTAATTGCCGTTTCTGTTGTTCTGGTAGGGTTCCAGAGTGATCTTCCGAACATCTAATTGCCGTTTCTGTTGTTCTGGTA